CAGAAATCACTTTCTATTAAAATAAATCCTCAATTTTTTTATTACATTTTCAACATATTTTTTTTCAACGTTCGAAAGAAATAATTTCCAAAACAAAAAATAATGAACTTGAGTTCAATTTAAAATTAATAAAATTACTTTTCTCTTGCATCTTGTGGCTTTAAGAGAAAAAAATTATCTTATGTCTTATATCTTATGGTTTTAAAAGAAAAAAAAAAAAATAGGTGGGAAAAAACTTTTGGCCCACCCTATATATCTTTACCCTCGAAAAACATTCGGATCGGGCGTAAACGAACTAAATAAACTCGGATTAATTGTAAATGCAACTTTGTGTATGTATCTTTACCTTCAATCGGAAGCAAACAAGGCCCAACACGACTTCCGCGACGATCTCGAATCGTGGATCGGCAAGGACCAGCGCCTCGAATTCGTGAGCTTGGGCAACGTGCTTTCTGATATGCCGTTGGAGATTCTCAACGCCGTAGAGCCTCAACACGAACCAAAGTTTCAACGATCTGAACCTCCGTCCCAACGGTATCTGCCAGTGCTGTCCACAGAACAAGTATTCACTTTTTCCAAACATTGCCAAGCTGTAAATCCTTCCTTTTCACATTTGCGCCTGTTTCGCAGTAATATATATATATATATTTTTTATTCGTGAATTATTTTACCCTGTAATCCGGAGCGGAGCCTTGCATATCGTGCTTCAGGTACAGAGGATCCACGTTGAAGGCGTTGATTACGTAAGTTGGATCTTTCAGCCACATCGTTGAACAATCGAAAGTCACCAGCATCCACTTGTGCGGGTTGAAGTTGAAGGAATCGGCCAGTTCGGTGCCTTTCATTAAATATCGGAATTCCGGGCAAATGAACGCCGAGCCTGACGAAGAAGATAAATTCTCAGCGACGTATTAAGTGAGTATGTATTAAGTAGCATGGTGAAATTATTGATATTTTAAACTGTTTACCAAGCCAATGATGAATTGCACGACTTTCTTTTTGACAAAGTTACGACAGTTTAAGGTGTAGACAATTTTTCATCATGTGTGTAAATGCTTTTGTCTAATATAATGTATAATATATTGTATAATATATGTATTTATGTACAATATATATTGTAAATGTATAATGTATATTTATTTAATAATGTATAATGTATCTATAATGTATATTTGTCTAATAATGTATAACGTATCTATAATGTATATTTGTCTAATAACGTATAATCTATCTGTAATGTATATTTGTCTAATAATGTATAATGTATTTATAATGTATATTGTATAATTTATTGTATAATATATGTATCTATGTATAATATATTGTAAATGTATATTGTATATTTGTCTAATAATGTATATTTGTCTAATAATGTATACTGTATTTATATGTATATTTGTCTAATAATGTATAATGTATCTATAATGTATATTTGTCTAATAATGTATAATGTATCTATAATGTATATTTGTCTAATAACGTATAATCTATCTGTAATGTATATTTGTCTAATAATGTATAATGTATCTGTAATGTATATTGTATAATGTATTGTATAATATATTGTATAATATATGTATGTATAATATATTGTAAATATATAATGTATATTTGTCTAATAATGTATAATGTATCTATAATGTATATTTGTCTAATAACGTATAATCTATAATGTATCTTTGTCTAATAACATATAATGTATCTATAATGCATATTTGTCTAATAATGTATAATGAATCTATAATGTATAATAATCTATCAATGTAGCCCAATTTACCAGCGTAAGCAGCATCAATGTGTAACCAAATGTTCTCGCGATTTGCAACCACGCCAATTTCGTCGACACGATCAAACGCGCAGGAGTTTGTCGTCCCCAAAGTTCCGACAACCTGTAAAATCAGAATCAATTAACCCTCAAATGTAGTTGCAGTAATTAATAATTATATCATGCGTTGACCTAACCCTCGCGAGGGCAGCAGCCAATAGCTAATTTCATTTCGAGGCCCACGAGCTCGAAGCAAGTAATAACTAAGTTTGCAAAATTATTGCAAAAGCTTACACGCTGCATATAATTGTAATAATAACGAGGAAAAATATGTAGTCAGAATGATTTCTAAGAACGTAAATGAATACCGTTTTACTATTATTTATCATTTATTATAGTTGAACGAGTTTTATTATTTCTACTAGTTATAGGTATCATTTTTTAGTTGACCGAATGACTAAAAAGTTCGATCGTTTCTCGAATATAGTTCTTCCTATATTTATCTCTTTTTTGTTTATTGTAAATTTTGAAGAAACTCGACAACTCGAAATTGAATTGGAGAAAATTCTTTTTTAAAATTCTTATCCCGGCGTTTGCGTAATTCCAACAATCGTACAGCCACTTTTCTGACCAACACACTTCAACAAGACATTTATTATTTAATTTATCAATATCTTCGTCATTATGACTAAGATTTCTTATTTATCAAGTATTCAATTATCCGATTAATTTTTTAAAATATTTAGTTCCATTAAATTCTCCTAAATTTTTTATGCATTTTATAGTAGTAATTGAATTAATTAGATTAATTCGATTATCATCAAATTTATGTTATGTGTGGATGTTGCAAACACTCAAAGCGTCATTGGCATCGAGAATCTTTTCGTCGTTCAGTTGCGTTCTTCGCTATGAGCTTAAGTATGAGCTTACGTAGAATGGGATCAGTCCTTGTTCCTTATCCTTGCGAATCGCTTCCGCCAGCGTCTCGCCGCGAAGTTTGTTCTTGGAATCAACCTCCAGCAGTCGGAATTTTACACCACCGAGCAGACCAGCTCGTTCCACGGAACTGTGCGCTTGACCTGATGGATGAACGAATAACACAAACTCAATACAACATTCGTCGCGTCTATCTTCTCATTTTTATAATTCATCGTTCAACTGCTTCAGCTGATTCATATCTCTCTGCTATTTCGAACATGCAGACAAATCAATGGATCATTAATCCATTCGCCACTCAGCGAACCATTGATCCATTTGCCGAACAAAAACACGAGACAAAAGCCCTGTTCAACTTTCAATCCCGACACGAACAATACCCGACTTTATAACACTTTCGATCGAAGTAAATTGTCATTGTAGAAAGGAGGAAAAAGAAAAAAAAAAAAAAAGGTCTCGCGGGATATTTCTCTTTTCTCACTCATTCGCGGGTATAAGTTGCAGGAGATCTCGTCTCGTAAGTTACAGAGAATTCGAAAACGCTGTCGCGTGGGCGAGAACTTTCAACGATTCGACGTGTCCGGCGAAGGGAAGTGGCAACAGGAGCGCAGAATGGCGAAGAGGGCTTGAACGCGGAGAGGGGTGGCACAGGGTTGAAATAACTCGAGTGGTTATTACGCGTTGCCATGGTGACAAAGTGCTGGCTGATGAAGTGCCGCAACCCCGTACTCGGGGCTTGTCATCCCATCCCCCTTGGCTCTCCGCTCTGTCAAATGTTAAAGAGCACCGGCCAACGTCATCGTTAATCTTGTTTACAGGAAAATCACGCTCAGCCGCTGTCCCGAAAATTTTCACCCAGCTAATCGACCGGTTCGACCTCTTTCGCGCGGTTATTTTCGGAAATGTTCGTGGAAGATCATTTTTTTTCGAGAAACTTATTTTGTTCATTTAAGGGATCGATCGAGGTTGCTGAAAGATTTTTCTTTTCGTTAGCTACCAAAATTTGTAAAGTCGAAATTGACAGTAATTTTCATCGATTTAAGAGCCTTTTTTTTATAGGGTAGTATTTTACAGGATGGTGGATAGTAGTATTTTACAGGAAGGATAGTATTTTATAGGGTAGTATTTTACAGGAAGGATAGTATTTTACAGGAAGAATAGTATTTTACAAGAAGGATAGTATTTTACAGGGTAGTATTTTACAGGAAGGATAGTATTTTACAGGAAGGATAGTATTTTACAGGGTAGTATTTTACAGGAAGGATAGTATTTTACAAGGTAGTACTTTACAGGAAGGATAGTATTTTACAGGGTAGTATTTTACAGGAAGGATAGTACTTTACAGGGTAGTATTTTACAGGAAGGATAGTATTTTACAGGATAGTATTTTACAGGAAGGATAGTATTTTACAGGAAGGATAGTATTTTACAGGGTAGTATTTTACAGGATAGTATTTTACAGGAAGGATAGTATTTTACAGGGTAGTATTTTACAGGAAGGATAGTATTTTACAGGATAGTATTTTACAGGGTAGTATTTTACAGGAAGGATAGTATTTTACAGGATAGTATTTTACAGGAAGGATAGTATTTTACAGGATAGTATTTTACAGGGTAGTATTTTACAGGAAAGATAGTATTTTACAGGGTAGTATTTTACAGGAAGGATAGTATTTTACAGGGTAGTATTTTACAGGAAGAATAGTATTTTACAGGATAGTATTTTACAGGAAGGATAGTATTTTACAGGGTAGTATTTTACAGGAAGGATAGTATTTTACAGGGTAGTATTTTACAGGATGGTGGATAAATGTACTTCGATACTTTCGTAAGCACGAGATTGTGTCTCGGAGCTACTTACAGGAACTATAAGCGACTAATTTCCCCACAATTTCGTTGTCCGACCAGTCAGGATGCTGATCCTTGACCTGCCTGATTTTTCTAGCCTTGGCGCCGAGCAGCGCGACTAAAGTGGCTTCGCTCGCAGTCCCCTATAACGTTAACTACGTTAATAGATGTTGTCTCAACTATATATATAGCTGCCAGTTATCTCTCTGAGCTGCTCGTGAAACATCTTTCCAACGACTTTCGCGACATAAGAGGAGGACGAGCAACAGGTGAACGCAACGTTAACTTCCAACTTGCTTTACCTGAATGACACCACCACCTTTCCCACCGCTGCTCGCTAAAAACTCCTTGGGCAGGTCCAACATCTTTCCTAACCAGTCCAGCATGATCACCTCCAACTCGGTGCAAGCGGGGCTTGAGATCTGTCGTTTGGGAACGATCGTTTGAGACTCAACGACACTCTCAGCAAAGAGAAAAGGAATCTTTCGTTTTGTTCAATTTCACGCTACTTGAACAAAAGTGAAGATTCCTCTTCGGTTTTTTTTTTTGCAATTTGTACGCTTCGATCAAGTTACCCAGGTGAAACCGATGCACGCGATGGCGCCGCTGAGCATGTCGGCGACGATTCCTGGATACGATTGCGCCGTGGGGAAGTAAGCGTGGAATTTCGGGCTGTGCCAGTGAGTGACCTGAGGTAAACAACCGTTTTCTCGACTGTGTTCGCGAGTTACGCGCACAAAGTGATAAGGTTTGTACTTACGCCTGGCATTATCACTCTTTCGACGTCCGCCATGATGTCCATCCAGTTTTCCGGCGACTGCGGGGCCTCGGAGGGCAACAAGGGTTTCATGTAGCCCGGCTCCACCGTCGGCAGCACTCGCCTGCGAAACTTTTACTTTTAAAATGTTTCACGAACGCGAGGGAGTCACTTTAAGTCCCGAAAGCAGTGATTAACTTAAGTGATTTGTGAAATGGGACACGTAGATTCACGTTCTTGGCAATATACTTTAACTTTGAGACGTACCGTAGGAAATTTCTCTTTTCTAGGCGTGCATTTCTGAGAAAGTATATTGAAATAATCGAAACACTGAATTCCACTACATCAAACCAGTGTTCTGCATTGAATTGTTAGCGCACATACTAAAAATTCGACATTAAGCTTTTAAGAGAATTTATAAATAATTAGGGATATATATAACAGTCAGAAATATTATTTATAAATAATTAGGGATATATATTACAGTCACTAAGGAGATAAGCACACAGTCGTTTTCAAGTAATTAAAAAAGAGTTTTGAGCATAGAGATTGGTTAAATTAATTCGTTGTAATTTACATTGTATAAGAATATATATTTCGTTGCATACGTCTTATTTAATGTACGTTCTAAAAACAAAGTACGTAGTTATTCTTTTTCTTTGTAGTATGGCGAATGTACCAAGTTATCAAACGATTACATAGTATCTACAAAATGTGACAACATATACACAACATAAATCATTTGTTGAGTCACGTTTGCATATACTTTTCCTGACCATTTTATTCTCCCAATTTTTCATTTTAAGGATATAAAAAAAAAAAAACTGTAAAATAAACATATTTAAATAATATATGACTAGCGGAATACGTAATTGTTGAATTAGCATTCACTTACGTCTGGCTCAAATGAAATTTTTTGGAATTATGGTCGACAAAATTTTCCGGGCGCCTACAGTATTATAAGAGCAATTTTTTTAAACGACTTTAGGCACCAACAGCAGTCAAAAAGTTAATTCGCGATGGATGATGCAAGGATCTTCGTCTTATTACCATCGATTGCCAGTAATTTTATACATGTATAAAACTAATAATTATAAACGTTATATAATTGTATATTATAGTTACAAACAGTTATGGTTATTATAGTTGTAAATGATATAATAATATAATATAATATAATAATTGTATATTATAATATAATAAATATAATTATGGATAATATAATATAATAATTGTATATTATAGTTATTATAGTTGTAAATGATATAATAATAATTATACGCAACATCTATAATTTTATATTATTATTAATATTATTTATATTTTATTATTTATTATTATTTTATATTATTTATATATTATTATTTATTATTATTTTATAATTTTATATTATTATTTAATATTATTTGCGTTTAAGTTATTTAATTCACATTCACTGTAATTTTCTTTTCTTTTGTTACATCACAACCTGTGTCAATTGTTAAGAAGATCATGCTCGCTTACAAAGAGAAATTTACGTTCGCACTACGAAGTAGATTCCGGTAATTTTTAATTATAAAAATCGCGAAGGAAAAGATTCGATAGGAAAAGATTCACCTGTCCCTGATGTTTTCCAGGTAATTAGTAATGTACTCGGCCATTTCCTTGGCGAAATCCTTGAAAGAGTCGGCATCCATGTCGCGTGTACCTGAAAGATATCGAACATCGGGTTAACCAACACGCGAAGCGACGATACCTCATTATTAGAAATTACTTCACAGGTTTCTTCAAGCAAGGAACGAGCAACTAGAGCCTCGTAATAAAAAAAAAAAAAAAAAAAAAAAAGTGAAAGTGGTTTTTACGCTTGGGATTAAGGTGGATCACTGCATCCGTGATTACAAGGTTTAATTTAAGTATTGTCGTCGATTTGGCTGTTCGATCGTTGAAATTAAATAATCATTTCGAATCGTTGCACATTCTTCCGAGTTACCAGATTGAAATCGTCGCCAGTTCTGCACACAACGACGCGACAATTGGCTTTTTCAGTGTGGCTCCTCGAGGTGGAAGAACAGCGACACGTGTTTCGTCGCTGAATAGCGATTCACAACGTGATCACTCGTGAACGGATAAGATAATTCGACTCGCGAGGGAACAACGACCGTGACTCATATTTCTGCGAGGCAAGTTCCGTTTCGATTCCTTTCCCGTCCGCGAGTCTGCTCTACATTCCCTTTCGTCGGCAGCGCGACGACCAATCTTGCAATTGATCTTTCGTTTCTCGAAGACGATCGATTTTTCTTAGACAGAAAAGTATTTAGACAGTGTCTAAAGAGACTAGTAATTTAGACTCTAAAGAGACTAGTAATTTAGACAGAAAATATTGTTTGCATCTTCAGAATCAACATTCTCATGTTTGTATTTTCGTTTTGAGCAGAGTGATTGGCTGTCCTTTCAATTTTATCTCGCGACGATTCTAACGCAACGAGACAACAATAATTGAAAAAGTTCTCGTTTCCGTGAATAGAACAGCTAATAATTCAGAGCATACGAGCGAGAGGAAACGATCAGGGATTTACATACTGATCGTCGAACGAGGAAAGAAACGGGGGGATTCCCGCGGTCGTGGCCGTGACGTCAAAAGATTGTCAGAACAGGAAATGTGAGCAAATAATTTACTAGTAAGAGTGGACTGATCTCATCGATGCGTAGAATTGCTCGCGATCTTCGAAAGACTCCGTCTTTTTTTTTTTTTTTTGCAAAGATCGAATCTTCGTCGTCGAACGAAATTATTTCATAGATTTATCATAAAATCAAGAGTTTTCAAACGTTTCTTGAAAAAAAAAGAAAAGAGTTTCATAATATGTCTTCGATCTAGATCACGGTTTCTTCGATTCCCGCCGCGATCGGGGCAAGGTCGTTGCTATTATGTTCTATAGAGGAATCAAGCCTTTACTTTTTCCTCACCAAGTTGCCCAACGCGAATTGCCCAACTCTTCCACCGACTGAATTTCTAATTACTCTGTGCTCGCTTCGTTCGGGCGAAAGCTAACGTGTTAACAATAGTTCCGGACAGATTTTTATATTGAACGTTTGGAGTAATCGCGAGCCTGCATCTTGATTTTTGATTTCAATTTAAAAGTAAAGCTTGTCTCCTGTCATGCTCGGGGATTCAGTTTCACGTGTGGATCTTCAAATGATCGATGGATTTTAAGATTGAGGAATAATGAATTTCTGAAGATTTACTGAAAAGATGGGAATATATAATAATTCACGTCGACCGATTCTTTTTCCATCAACAAAGCACTGTCATTGAAATTCTCTCAAACTAAACGCAAAATAATTATCTACGAGTTTCACGTCCTTGTTTCAAGACGATTAGCTCTCGTATCTGTTAGAAAAAAAAAAAAAAGAAGAAGAAAAGAATACTGTGGAACGTATTGTCTCGATAACATTTGATAATTCTCCGAGTTAATGACGAGTTGAATCCCAACATACTTGTCAGTGACACGTGTTTTAATTTATAATACGCTTGTAACCAATCGCGTTTAAAGAATGCTCGTTTCCGCTGCAACCCTGTTGCATTACGTAATGAGAATTTTTTTATCGTTTAAACATCATTCGCGGTGTAAAACGGTGTCTTATCTAACGTTTCGCATATTTGAATTAATCCATCAAATGGATGTCGAAACAGATACGTAATTCCAGCTAATATATTCTTTCGCATTCCTTATTTCTTCATCAAGCAGGATGATTATACATTTGTGTGTTATCTATCAGCTAAATGCGCAGAAACGCGTATGTATATAGAATATAATATAGAATATAATATAGAATATAATATAGAATATAATATAGAATACAGAATATTGTATATAGAAATTATTGTTTGAACATAGAATATAATATAGAATATAGAATATTGTATAGTATATCATATATACTAATATAACATAATATAATATAAAATATAGAATATTGTATAGTATAGTATATATACTGATATAATATAATATAGAATATAGAATATTGTATAGTATAGTATATATACTAATATAATATAATATAGAATATAGAATATTGTATAGTATATATACTAATATAATATAATATAGAATATGAAATATTGTATAGTATAGTATATAGAATCTATTCTATATAGAAATTTATATATTGTATATAGAAATTATTGTTTGAATATAGAATATAATATAGAATATTGAACATAGAAAAAAAGTCAGATACAGAATTAATAATAATAAATAGAGATTTAATAAAAGTTATCAAATGTAAGTTGGTAATACACGCTATTAAATCAATATTTAATATAATAATAAACTTCGTTTCTCTTATCAATAATTATACTGCTGATGATCATGCATTTATCTGTTATTCAGTGTGATATAATAATATCAAATCTCTATTTAGACTTCGTTTCTCTTATCAATAATTATACTACTGATGATCGTGCATTTACGTGTTATCTATCAGTGTGATTGTGCAAAAAATCATGGAACTTATATATAACATTCGAAACCATGGAGAATATTCAAACTGAGAAATATAATTAATAATAATAAATCTCTATTTAAACTTTGTTCCTTTTACCAATAATTCTACTGCTAATCGTGCATTTACCAGTTATCTATCAGTTCGTGTTCAAAAACATAGAGACTATTTAAAATAAAGGAACATGATTAATAACAACAAATCTCTATTTAAACTTCCTTTCTCTTAACGATAATTGTCGATTGTGTATTTACGTGTATTTATTTATCGGCGTAAACACGCAGAAAGTCGCATAGAAAACATTCAAAGCAAGATACAGAACCAATGAATCTCGATTTAGACTTTTCGTTTCTCTCTCATTGATAATTGCACTGTTTGATCATTATGCATTTTACACGTTATTTACCAGCGCGAATCACATGCAGGAATTAACATAGTGTTCGAAGGCTGCGTGAAAGATACAATGAGAATTAGACACCTACGTTCCTTCAGTTGTAAGATAATAGATAGAACCATGAATTTGCACGAACATCCACGTTTCTCTAGGAATAAAACGATAAAACAAACCGTGAGAGGAACGTACCAGATTCAGACGTGATCGTGTTCGATGTAGACACTTGACAGCTGGCTATCCACGTGGATACGGTTGAATCAAAGGAAAATCCACGAGCGAGCTTCAGCGTGCTGCACGATTCCGGCGACACAGTCCGTGTGAAATTGCCGTCTGCCGTCTACGTCGCGTTATTTTATGTACCACCCCACCCAGTGGCCAGGCCGCTGTTCGCGTCGGATCCTTTCGGCCGATCGCGATTACCAGCTGCGCAGGTAGATCCGCGCTCCCGAATTGCCGATTCGATCGATCCGGACGCTAATAATTGCGAGCGCGAGATCGACGAGACAAGTGCGCCAGTGATTAGAGCGTCAACCAGCGACACCGTCATCATTGAATCGCGATTGTTAACCAATTCGAGACGAAGAATTATATTAACCTTGCGCTGGAGTGACGTGCCACGCACGTCGAGAATATTTTGTAACAAAACTGCAACAAAATTTTTTATAACAAAATTGTAATATTTCCTCAGTTTTCAGTATATTTAAATACAACCCAGGTAATACATTTATTACTTCTTAATAATTTCTATCTATAGTGATATACCGTCGAGTTTCAAAAGAAAAAGAAAGCGACGAATTATTGTGTACGGTTCGGTCACTCGTTATGGTCCGCAATCAGTTTGCCAGCGCGAGTGGTTAACCTCTTGCCACGCATGTCGAGAATTTTGTTTTTGTCGCAAAATTGCAATATTTCCTCAGTTTTCAGCATATTTAAGTATAATCCAGGCAAAACAAGTAATAAATTTATTATTTCGCAATAATTTCTATCATATCGACGAGATCAAAAAGAAAGCGACGAATTATTGTGTACGGTTTGGTCACTCGTTATGGTCCGCAATCAGTTTGCCAGCGCGAGTGGGTTAACCTCTTGCCACGCATGTCGAGAATTTTGTTTTTGTCTCAAAATTGCAATATTTCCTCAGTTTTCAGCATATTTAGGTATAATCCAGGCAAAACAAGTAATAAATTTATTATTTCGCAATAATTTCTATCATATCGACGAGATCAAAAAGAAAGCGACGAATTATTGTGTACGGTTTGGTCACTCGTTATGGTCCGCAATCAGTTTGCCAGCGCGAGTGGGTTAACCTCTTGCCACGCATGTCGAGAATTTTTTTTTTTTTGTCTCAAAATTGCAATATTTCCTCAGTTTTCAGTATATTTAAGTATAATCCAGGCAAAACAAGTAATAAATTTATTATTTCACAATAATTTCTATCATATCGACGAGATCAAAAAGAAAGCGACGAATTATTGTAATACGGTTTGGTCACTCGTTATGGTTCGCAATCAGTTTGCCAGCGCGAGTGGTTAATCTCTTGCGCTGGAATGATGTGCCACGCATGTCGAGAATTTTTCTTGTCTCAAAATTGCAATAATTTCTCAGTCAACGAATGATAAGCCTATTACTTCTCAATAATTTCTATCCAGTGATGTCATACCGAGACGAGTTCAAAAAGAAATCGAGGAATTACCAGTACACGGTTTGGTCACTCGTTATGGTCCGCAATCAGCTGCCAGGGCAAGTAAAGACGATCTTTTTTTTCCCTTTCTTTTCTGTGCCAACAGAAGAAAAATACAATTGTAAATAACATGTTAGCACACCGTGTGTGTAACTGGCGCTTCAGAATAATTTCACGACCAATTACACACCATGTGTAATAAAAAGAAAAGTGGAAGAACACTTGTTTCAAGAATAACAAAGAAACACGAGATCATTGTATTTAGATAATCAAAATTAAGAAGACAATCCGTAGATAAATTTTAAAAGAAAAGATTAAACAGAGGTGATTAGTGAAATTAATTACCACAAAATTTCCAACGATACTTATTTTTTAATAACCTTAGTAATAATCCTTGTAAAACACACATTCCAGGGTTACCTTCGTGAGCAAATTTGAATCTTCGTGCACCTTTAAGTTTCACTTTATCTCAAAACGATCTTATCCTCACGGCTACTTGCTAATAACTAATAACTCAAATTCAAGATCATTACACACACGGTGTCTAATACGTCTCGAATAGGTTAATGATTTCGTTAATTGTTTCATCGTAGCCAATCGACTTCTCCTCGAGCCATTGTCGCCGATGAGAGATTACGTTTCCATTATTCCAACAGTGTATTTTCTTACTGATCGATTAATTGCGTAATCGTACTTTTAATCGTCGTTCAGTATTTGCTGGAGAGGTTTGGACAATTGAGAATGAGCTCTGTCCGAACCTACAATCATTGGCTGAATCTCTGCAGCATTTTGTTACAGTTTAATTTGAGAATTTCGTTCGACTGCGTGATGGTAATTCTCAATTCAATGACTGGAATTATTCTGTCAAGTATTTTCACTCGAATTCTTCTATTGTCACAGTATTTCTTTTACAATTTAATTTAAAAATTTCGTTCGATCAACTGAATGATCGTAATCTTCGTAGATTGGAATTATTTTGTTAGGCATTTGCTCGAGGGACATTTTCTGAAGAATGATAGTGCATGGGGGATTATTCTGATTTTAAATTTTCATTCCCTCCGTTTTTTGTTTTTTTTTTTCTCGTCCCTCTTTTCAGAAACATATCTTTAGAAGTCCTAGACCTAAACATTTCTGTGAAATATACCAGAAAATTCTTTAAAATCTTTACCATTGGCATTTCTGTTTCTCATCAATAGCCATTGTTCTTAACTATGTGGAAAAAGTCGCGACACCTTTAGGTAATTTTAGGTAATTTTGTGCATAGCCAAGCATTTATTGCCGCAACAATTGACACTTTCGAAATACCTTGATATTTGAGAAATGAGCGGATAAAAAGGCAACTTTTCTAAAACGGAGCGCGTATGTCTGTCGAACAAAGTCCGACGTTGGCTTTAACGACGTTACGAAAGTCAAAGGCAGCTGAGACCGAGGCGAATTGTAACTTGATTTCAAGTTGGAAATCAAGGCGCCATTCAGACAGCAAAATCGAATTAACACTTTCGAAGTCGGTGCTGTTTCGTCGAGACGCGGTCCACTTGTCTTGTAAAATTGTGTCTCTGTGATCCTTCTGCTTCTTTCCCGATCGACGAAACTCGTTTATTTCCAACCGTTTCTCAATGCTCAAAACGTACGTTGGAAAAGAAATTTTATTCAAAAATTATTCGATCCATAACAATTACTGTCTGAGCTTGCAGAAAAGAAAAAAAAAAAGAGGAGATCTTATAAAAATGTAAGTCGTCCCTTAGCGCATCTCTCATTGCAATTGTATTTATCCTTCTCACTTCGTCTAATATTTCTTCATTATTTTTATCTATTACTGTGACTACATCTTTATCTCACTTGTCTTATTATCCATCACTGTAATTATTATATATTATATACAATAATAATAATTATAAATGATATTATATATAATTAATATATAATTATATTATATTCATATTAATTTATATTATATTACACACATCTTTATCTCATTTGTCTTATTATCCATCACTGTAATTATTATATATTATATATGATAATAATAACATAATTATAAATGATATTATATATAATTAATATATAAATATATTATATATAATTATATTATATTTATATTAATTTATATTATATTACATTAATTTATATAAATATAAATACATTAATATTATATTATATATATTTCTTTACGTATAAATACTCTCATTTTATTTATTCCCCTGTACTCTGAAAATATATTTCTCTTGATTTTGCACTCTGACACCTGCCACTTTGTCTTTTTCTGCGTTTGTTCGAACAAATGAAAAACGAATTAAATTCAATCTAACTAAAAATTGTCTCGTATTTCGGAGCGTGGTCACGCGTAACAAAATCAATTGGAGTTTATTTGAATGGCACTTTTAGCCAAGATTGTGCAAGAAGTGTCGACGATCAACAAGTTGTCCGCGTAGGAGAAAACCTGTGGCTTCAGCGCATACGTCAACGAACTGTTCCCTTGAATCAGGACGATTATACTACCATATTATATACTTGTGTCTTTCGTCGAGTCGTTGATGAAACAAGTGATTGCACGTAGTAAGTTCATTTGAGAGATACGTCAGTCACTCTCGATCGAGAGTTTCGTTCACTTCCCTCTCCTCTTTCCACGCGCGCCGCAGAAAAATGTCCTCCCAGGAATTTTGCACGAAACAGCACTGACTCACTCGGATGAAAGTGGAAAGACCAGGATAAAGCCTGCACTGGCTGTTCTATGATCATGACGAGTGTGTGGCGAGTTGTTACGCGGGATATCCCGAGGATTTGCAGCGGTGTTCGTGTTGAAATGTTACTTTTGCGTACGTAGAATTGAGGAAAAATTATCGTAATATTTGCGGGTTTCTTGCATTTTTGCGCGATCGTAGAATTGAGTCAAAGTTGGACATAATTTCGAATAAATATTTGTTCGAGATAATTATTCGTATATAATTATCCGTTTATTCCTTTTGTTCATTCGAGTGAATTTTTCGAATAATTATTTGGCAAGTACATGTTATTTTTGCACGTGTTTTCATACTTATAACACGCGTCACATTTAAAGGAAAGTTCATTGCAAAAATAAATGTGAGGAAAATTGCGAATACGATAAGGATGTAAAGAATTGTTTCATCTTCCCTTACGTATGACATAATATAATTAAATAAATACAATAATGAGATTCTTATTTGAACACTTATTATACGAATAAATTTTTGTTCGAACAAATACTGTACACGTAGCAAATATATTTACTTTATTGTTACCTATTGTCATTTGTTCCAATTCGCTGCAATAATTATCAAGATCAATTAAGAGAATAATTAAGACGATATTACCAAAGAATTTGCTAACAACGTACGTGAGCAATGATATTGTGTATGATAATATCAATAGCATTGAGAAATTCTTCCACAGCGCAGAAGCACACCTACACATATTTATAACAGTGTGCTATAGGTTGGCTGTGATACAGATCTTAGATACTTTCACGCCGAGACCTTGTATTAAAGCAAATGCATTGCTAATGTTGTTTCGTGATACAGTTTATCAAGAACGTAGTGATCTCTAGAAGGGAATAAAAATAATCCAATAGTTACGTGAAGAGAATAAAAATGTGAAACAATCCAATACGTTGTAATAATATAATTTCATTCCGTGCAAGGTGTTTTCGGAAAAAACGCGATTCTGTGATGAAGAAATAAAAGATAAAGTATATTTGAATTCTATATTTTTTTGTGAATTTCCTTTTGTTCGAAAAGGAAACAAATTCGAGGTCCATTTTCTTGAAAATGAAGCTTCAAACAAACAGAATATGTTATATTCCACACTTTTGATTTAGTTTTGCATGTAGAATAATCCTCAGCTAATTTGTTCGTTTCTATCCAATTCAGAATTAGAGAGATCCAAATAGACTTGAGAAATTTCGAAAATCGAGAGTTCCAAATGAGGAAAATTTTATTCTCTATTTCCGACCTCGTTTTCGCGTATCTTTAAATTCGATTTTCTAAAAAAAAAAAAAAAAAAAAAACGAACGCTTTAACAAACAATTTTCCCTCTATATTTCTATCCAATGTAAAATACACACGTAAATAAAAAGAACTTTTGTCAAAAATCCACTCTGATCGTTACCCTGACGACTAATCTATTAATTCCACGGAATAATAATAGATCACGAGCTGAAATCATGATCCGACAAGTGGTAAGAATAAATGCGGAGAAGGAATGGCTGGGTGCCTCTTAAAGAAGGTTTTCTCGGTGGTTGAAAGAGACAAGAAGGTAAAGCGGTCGAGTTTTCATCGAGGAGCGAGGGGGCAGGGCGGGGAGAACTCTTCTTCCAACTCCTTACCAACTTTTACTCGGGCGAGCTTCCTTCTGCACCTTCGATTCTCCCTGTTCAATTTGCCACCCTTATTCAGTCGTCGAAAAGCTAAGAAACGAATGTACCTTTCCTCAATACACTGTGCCGTCGTCATGGCTACCACCGTCTTGGATAATCTTCCGCCTCCAAGGACATGTTCTCCGTTATATCAGGCTACTTTATTTCTCATTTCGATGGAATCGTCGCCGGCAATCAATTTTATCTCGTAAGAACAAAATCGACGCTGTCTTTTCTTTTCTTCTTTTTTTTTTTTTTAATATCTTTCTTCATATTCGGTAATGAGACCAAGTAAAATCGAGCTTAATCGAAAGGTTTATGGTCGTGTCAACAACAGTTTTAATTATCGAACATACTGTGTAATTTGAAGGGCGTTAACAAGCAATTTAACATTGGTCAAAATGGTCAATTTATAATTTTCAGTAGATATATATTTTATAGATTAGAAATGTTGTATTTTTAGAGACTTAAATGTTTTAAATAGAAGCTTGTGTGCTCTGTCGTGCTGTAAAGTTTCTCTATTCCTTTTACTTTAACGTCGTTGAATGAAAATTTTATGATTCAGTCTCGTAAATAGGTTAACAATTAACGCAAATGCGAAGAAAGAAGATCTGAAATTGAACAATTAGGTATAAAAACGTGACAGTAATTGTTAAATTATTACATATCTGTTTTCTGAAAGGGCTCATTTACTTCAGTGAAATGGCTTCAATTCCTCTTCTAACTGTCCTTTCACACTCCCCTCAGTCAGTTCTTATAGTGAAGAAAATGTCATTAACAGAGAGACGGACTGGAGCCTGGAAAGACAATTTCCTGGTGTCTCATGGTCCACCATTTCCTTTGACTAAGCTTCGTCTATTCTGTCCCGCAAGAATCAACGGGCTTTGAATCATCATGCTCAGCCCCTTTCTAACTCCTTTGACCATTCTACTACCACTAATCTCTGCTTGACACTAGTCGTTATTGTATCTCTTTTGCGTAATTGAAAAAAAGACGTGTAATAATCTCGATTAACGCTCAAGATATAGTGAAGAGCACAATTGTACCAGCAACAATGAAAAATTGTTGATAATTTAAACTGATATATTTTCACAAAAAAAAAAAAGAAAAAAAAAAGATTGGATTCATTTTAAAGATTAAAGTCTGTTTTTGGACAATCGTGAAATTTGTCCTTCTTGAAGATGATGTTACATTTGTAAAATTTTTTTCGTGACTAAGTCTGCTACTGTCTTCAACAGGTGTACGAGAAATCAATTAATTGAAATGTTTATAATTGACAATGAACATCCAGTTGCCCAATATTATTGAATTTAAGAAAAAATATTAGGTAAGTCTTAAGTAACATTAGGATGGATACTCTCTCTACTAAATTTTTCCTAAAATCGCGTTAATATGATTAACAGTTACAGTTGGGGAGAGCCATGGCGTGAAAGGAACAGAGTATTATTCGTAGCCATTCGTTTTCTAGCTGGCAAGAGAAGAGGCTATCGGCAAATGTACTGCATTATGTATGAGCGACGCCGATTCAGAAAATGAAGCCTCTTTAGGAGTCGCCGATATAACCGAGGTTCCGTGTATTTCTTTCTCTTATTTTTCATTTCGATAAAAAGAACGATAACTTCCCTTTCGAAATTGTGCGTGACAATCGTATGAAATTGTCGCTGCGTCAACAAAATCGAGGAGGCGTTGAATTTTGTTATCCCTGCGGAACAAATGTCATAACCTAGCTCGCCGATGAGGGAAGAGACGTGTCCGTGAGAATGTTAAATTAACGGTGTGCAAAATTAATCGAAGGACAGTTACGATTGTTGATCTCGCTCTGTGGGCTAGGAAGAATTTTGTCGTTCGCGCGCGCGCGCGCGCCATATGTCTTTGTCCACGTCAGAAAGAAGAGCGACACCGAGAGAACACACTACTCATGTTATTTTCTTGTCGCAAATGCATCTCCAGATCCTTCGATCGAACGTTTAACGGTACGTCCTTGGTCCTTTGTCCTTTTGGTTTTCTCATTCTCAGTCTCTGTTAAATAATCCCTCAATGGTTCTCTCCATAGTTCTCAAGATTTCTCGAAGAGGATAAATTTCGACTTAGGTAGAATTTATTGTGGTATTTGAACAGAGATTTTTTTTTCTATCTCTTTGAATTTTTATTTTATTTTATTTTTATTTTATTTTCTTTTATTTTTTTATTTTACTTTATTTTTATTTATTTATTTATTTATTTTATTTTATTTTGTTTTATTTCATTTTATTTTATTTTACTTTGTTTTATTTTACTTTATTGTATATTATTTTATTTTATTTTATTTTTTTTATTTTATTTCGTTTTATTTTATTTTATTTCATTTGATTTTATTTCATTTTATTTCATTTTATTTCATTTTATTTTATTTCATTTCATTTCATTTTATTTCATTTCATTTCATTTCATTTCATTTTATTTTATTTTATTCTATTTTTATTTTTACCTTTGAAACGACAAAGAAATTGAGCAAGATTGTTTGTATCATGAATACGATTCGCAGTAACGAGTAACATTATAATGCTTGTTGTCAGGACATGGATACCGTGAAGGAGTACTTGGGATACATCAATCCTCACTGGATAGCGGTGGTGGTGACAGGGATGTACACTCACCTTCGGCAAATTTGCGTGATTGGCCTGTGCTTCGACGAGGAGAGCACTCCTTTCGACCCGTCGTACGCGTCGGTGCTCTTCGTGTTCTCCGTACTGTGTCTCCTTGCGGAGTACAGACTTTGGCCTAGGACGCTCAAGGAACCGCCGATTCAACTCCTCTATATCTACGAGGTAAAACGAAGCCTCGGGTTTAAAGATTTTATCACGAAAATGTGACTTTGCACCACTATTTTTTGACAAAGATATGCAAAAATGATTTCAGGCCTCGAAGTCGATGTTCTTATACACGGATATCCAACCTTTTAGATTTTCTTCTGGGCCTTATTTTTAAATTACAAAAATTCCTTGGGCCGCACATAGTTCACATATTTTTTTATCAGTTCAATGTAACCTATATTATTTACTTTATCGACCGCTAGCCTATTAATCGGCTACTATTTACCGCTACCAGTCGGTAAAGTGTTAAAACAATTTTCACAGTGAAACAATACATTGATTAGAAAAACATATTTAAACATATTATATTAATGAAACAAAAGATTGCAAATTCCCTGAATTGTCCACACGCGAAAGATATAAAAATGTAAAAATCTCTAATTTGACGAGCTAAACTTTTATCAATAAACATAGTGTAATTACCAATTATCCCACGAACGATTGTTCAAGGACCGTCGGTAAGTAAGGCGAGCGGTAAAATCTACGCGGTAACCTAACCTAAAAGGCGATAAGAGGAAAACGCGGCTGTCAAAGTGTTAATTACACGCAAGCTCGTAACTTTTATACATATTTCATACATATTTACGTTCGCATAGATGCTGGTTGCGGCGCTGACCACGAACTTGACGACGCGTGCCATCTGGGTGCCCCTCATGCACGTCATTTACTGCCTAACCCAAGAATCCAGCAAATGCGTGAGTTTTGCTCGTTCGCTGGCGAGTCGCGGAGAAACATGAAACGAAGTGAAAATAAATTGGTGTTTTCAGTTATTGTGGTTCAACACGCTGCTGGGGCTGGGCCGTTACTCGTTTCTGACCGAATTCGCGTATTACATGGCGAGAGACTGCGCCGCCATGCACATGGCCTTCTGCCTCTCCGTTCTGTCGTTCGTTTGGATGTTAGACGCCACCGAGTCTTTGGACGCGATTCTGGACACTTGGGCCAAGTAGTGAACCAGTAATGTTTCGTTTTATAAGACGCTCGTGTCGTAGAATGATCGCGAACGGTCTACGCTGTCCGAGTTGTCCGAGAATTTGACCGAAACTATCTCGTAACGATTTACGTCGTTCGTGTTCAGGGAAAGAACCGGCGGACTTCTGGGCCTCTACAACGGTAACAGGAAACGTATCAGTTTTGCAAATCCGGAAGTGACGGATTGGTTCGTATACAAATTCATGTGCAGCACAGATACTTACAGTGAGAGCAAACCGGTCGTGTGATCGATTTCTATGTAATTCCTTCATGTGATGTACATGTATTCTTTTAATAAATTTTTTGATACTATCGAAGATATTATACTATAATTTATAAATTAATTATTTATTTAAATTATTAATATATATATATATATTTTATATTATATTAATATATATTAATATATTATTTTAACAGATTAGTGTTTTAAATTGAACTGTATGTAATGTACAATAAATAATAATTGTATTAATATTAACAGTTGCATTAAGGCTTTTGCTTTTTAAACAGCTAACGTAAAATTTTATGAGTACGTGCAGTAGTATCGATTATTATCGAACGTCAACGATCGAACAGTAACCCGTACGCTACGTCTCGTAGATTAATTTGTTAAGTGTTGTCCTTCAACTCTTGAGAGCTCTCCTTGGATAATTTATTTCAAAATATCAACACAACTGATATTGAGAATTGGAGAAAAGGAAAAAAAAAAAAGAAAATGACGAAGTTACTTCACACGATTGGCGCGCTCTTGTTAAACGCTTTCGGGCTTCAGATATTCCGGACGTGTTTCGCCAACGCCGTAGAGGACGAGGAGTGCGGATCGCTGCTGTCAGGGCCGCCATTTAGCTCGGTTTTCTTCAGCATCGGTGTATACGTCATCGTCGTGAATTCCACGCTGTTCCCGCGGTCTTTTCACGCGCCGAAAATGGTGTTTCTGATACTGTACGAGGTTAGCCATTCTTTATTTCATCTTTCGAACGACAATCCTTGTCTGATCCTCGTTTGATCTGTTTATTTTTGATACTAGTTTTTAGCTACCGCGTTTATCCTGGAATTCGCGTCGGCCTGCATCTGGACACCGATCGACGTGCTCTTGTCGACGACGTTACCATCCTACATTTGCCACGTAATGTCACGATTCACACTAACGTGTTCTTATAATTTCAAGCTTACGTTTGAATTTTTTTTTTTTTTTTTTCTTTTAAAGTAGACGCTTCGACAGCTGGGATTCGACGGTGCAGCGGTTTCATTTTTAGCGGACAAATCTTTGACGACGGTTTTAACTTACACCGTGGCGATCGCGTTCCTCTTGCTCACGCTTCACGTTGTGGATGCTGTCGATTATGCTGTCCTTAGGTATAATTGTTCAATACTTAATATTTATATAAATATCATTTAATAATTTAATATAATTAGTATATACATTATACTGTAATTTAGTATAATTATTTAACATTTAATATTTTGTTGTCACCGTGCAAGACAGAAAATGAGGTAAAGTTAGTGAGTATTAGGTTTAGATTTAGCGTAATAATTGCGACGATAATATAATATAACGTGTATTGTTTGGTTGATTATTTTTTATGAATTTTATTGAGGAATTATAACTGTTATAACCAGAATTAAGAAACAGTTGCAGTTAAATAACAATAATTTTTTTATTGCAAATAACGATTATAAGTAAAAAAAAAAATGTTATCTCATTATCTCAATGATTATTATTGATGAGAAAAATTCATTTCTTTATGACAGTTATCTCTTTCTTATAATTAGTCGTTCGTGATAGTTATCGATGAGGGAAATTTATTTCGATTTCTTTCTTCGTTAATTTCATTTCATGAGATTTACGAATACGATTTCAAATGCAATTACAAACGCGAAACAATACTATTTTCAGCGACCGAGATCGAAGAATTTTTCTTATTTACAGTTATTCAGAACAGTTTTAAATTTCGGTTGCTTTCCTTCGTCGATAGTGGTCATAAAAAAAAAAAAATTTTCTTTTTTCGAACGAACTAATTACATCGGTCTGTTTATGTACAGAGATTGTGGGACAATGTGTTTCTTAACTCACGTCCAAGAGAAACTTTGGGCAAGAATGCAACGAGAATTTCCATTCTTCGTCGAAGCGGCCAAAGGCTCCTGTCGTTGTAAAGTTCGCGGGAAAAGACGTAGTAAAAGTCGCGGCAATAGCGGTAGATAGCCTCGACATGTTCTGAACGAAATAACGAAATGTAAATTGATCGCTCGACGATTGAAAAAATCACCGATTAACGATTACACGTTACGAAAGTTGATGATTACGATTACCAGATCACATTTAGTCACTGTGATTGCAGTGAGTAATTGATTACTGTCCGACTCTGGCCAGAGGGAAATTCTTGATTCATCCAGATTAGGTTTCGCTGTTCAGATTGAAAAGACAGAGGGCGGCAAATTTATTTTTATGAAAAAGAAGGCATTTATTTCGTTCGAACTGAAATGCAAAGTACAAATGGTATAGATAATATAGTGGTAATAATGTAATAATAATTAATCGTTAATAAATATCAATTCAATTAATAATACGGTGTACCAGTATACTGTGGGATATTATATATACGGTAATTGTACTACACGGGATGTGTTCAGTGGCAGCGTTACAATCATTTTGTCGTCGAAGTGTATTATAATACAATGGTTTTTCTCTTTTTTTTCTTTTTTGTTCCATTATCGCCGACCGACGAAGATAATAAGTCGGCTCCTCGATTGTGCCGGTTACATTTTCCTCCTCGTATTATTATACTTTCTTCCTTCTGTCCCTTATCGCGCCACACTGACTCCTCGACTTCTAGAAATTATCGATCTTTTCTCGGGAGGAAGGTTAGGATCGGGATGGAGGAGGGAGCGCTGACCAAGACAATGCGAAAAAGTACTTATTCTGCTCGATGTCCAGAAATATTCTAGTTGAATGCAACGCGTTAATCAGTTGTAGCAAATAACGAAGCTACAAATACGATAATATTGCAAAGAAAAAAAAAAAAAAAAATTAAAATTCAAAAAAAAAAACAAAAAAAAAAAAAAAAAAAAAAAAAAAAGGAAAAAGTGCGGGAGAAAAGGAAAAAGAGAAAGATTGAAGGGAAAAGAGGAAAAAGCGAAAGGAAAGCCTCTCTTTCGCGAACGTTCTCGCCCTCGAGCCACCAGCTTCTTCCTCCGTACCTTCGTAAGTTTTTTCCTTTCCGACAAGCTCTCATTAAGCTCATTTGCCGCTTAATATTAAGTGTCCTTTCTCAAGGATGGTCCAAGGCACGCTCGCTCCTCCTACGGAAACTCCTGATTCTTCGCCGGCGCTTCCTCGCAATTTGCATAATCGCGAAGTTCGCCGCCATCGCGGGGAACAATCGCGCGCGCCCTCGCGAGCCAACGAGGTCTTTTCAACGAACCGGACCGTGAAAACCGTGGAAAACGCGCGCCACCGCTCGAGACAATTTCGAGACAGTGGCGATTAACACGTTTCGACGATTCGTCGGCTGTCCGACGCTGTTGTTGATTTCTGGCCTGCTGCTTTCGGTAATATCGTCGCCCTTCCTTCCGTGATGTACGCGCCACGGTGATAAGTCAGGTGGGGCGGTTGGAAATTGCGAGCTCGGTGCTCAGCTGTTTCCACACGGAGAAACGAGGCAATCACGCGCGATACCGCGTGCCGTACGGCTGATCAGCTGGACGCAATACGCGCTACGCCGGCGGCGGTTCTACGGCCGAAATCGTTGCCAACGGGCGTTTGTTTAGTACCTCAATATTCAAGGGCTAGCCTCGAGCCGCCGCGTTTCGCGTTCCATACCCGCGCCATATGCGTTCTATTGCCCCGTTGCTCAAGTGCCAGACTAGGCTTTCGCCTAGTTGTCGAATGGGTCCAGTTATCCCGCACGATTGCACGGTACAGTTTCACTGCGGTGAGATTGAAGTATTTTTATGGTGGTAGTAAGTAGACTCATTTATTTGGACCCTACGCAAAGTTAATTATTTATTCTTTTGATTTCCTAAGTGAAACTCTTCTCAACTTATTGCCCATAAAAGACTAACACTCTCGAGCGCGTAATGATGTCGATTGTGTCGATTGTCGTATCGAAATCCTTCGTATGATCGTAAAGTCACAGTAATCTCTGTCAGTTGAACAAGTCTCCTTTCTAACTACATATATACATGGAAATATTCTTCCTGCAGCAAGTCGCATCGGACGCGGTCAAACGTGCCGAACACGTGAAAGCAATTACGACAGCTGAGAAACGCGGAATATGACGCGATTGCGCCATTTTCGTAGTTGATTGCGAAGTAGCTGTCTTCCGGGCGGGATCTCGAAGAGAAAACGAGAACCGCGAATAGCCCGATACTTGGGCATGAAAAGAGGGAAAAAAGGGGATGGATGGTCGTGCAAGCGGTCGGCGAGAGAATCAGAGGCGACGTCGACGGACGACGTGGAACGTGCGGGGGTAATAGCTTGAATTTCGGTGATATTACGAAACCAAGTTGACGACTAACGAGACACATTCATCAGCCGCGCGAAGATACAAGGAACGAGTCTCGTTTCCCTTCCCTGTCAACCTACTTCAATTCGCCCCGAATAACGCACTTCAGTCTCCCTACGTCCCTCGCGGCGTGAACACACGCGTGCACGTGTGTGTGTCTGCGTGTGTCGGTGCGAGCCGAGAGAGTGTGTCTCGGCAGTCGTACAATTTAAACGATATATACAAGTGCACAGCTGCGCGGCTGGCTCGCAGGACGACGCATAGTTTCGCAAATTGTGTCTACGTGTCCATTTTGGCCTTATTGTTGGTTGGCCGATCTTCTCGTCTGGATTTCCTGTCGTGGTCCATGCGCGTGGTCCACACACACACACACACACATACATACATACACAGGCGCGTACGTATATTTCTTTTTTCCTCTCTCCTATTTCGCGGCAAAATTGCGGGGATAATAAATTTTTATCGCTCGCCAGCTGTTGTTTGCTTATTCCTCGGCGCTTCGCTGATAAAATTGCTTCAACTCGCTGCCGGTGATTTTTCTTCCGCGCGAAGCCGCGGTGATTCGGGACGCACACGCCGTGAACGGTATTCATTGCGAGCAGTATTCGCGCTCGGACGTCGATATACGTAACTATCGTGACGAGTGTTTATCAAACAGAAGCGTCGGAATTGAAAGCAGGCAATCGAGAGGAGGAATCGCCTGTATTTTTTACTCGATCGAAGAGGCAATTTACCGCGGATAATATTCGCGAAATCCGCGGTAAATTATTCCGCGATCGCCGTGCAGTTTTCCCCTCCGACGACGAACGAAGGAGGAGAGCAAAACACGTCGAATCGAGTGGTCCCTTCTCGAGGATTCGGCGCGTTTCATTAAGTACATTCACGTTTTCCGTGAACCTGAGAAATCAGTCGCGCGAATGTGTCGGCCAGTGCAATTACATTATGCAGGTCTCGTTCTTTTTCTCGGTGGTAGAGAGCAGAAAAAAGCTAGAGGATGAAAGAAAAGGTATATAAGAAAGGGGAGAGACCGCAGAACCACCTGCTACTACTAGCTTGTTCCACAACTCTCTGTAGTCGTAACTCGCGAACCGACGATCCTCCCCGAGTCCAACCACGAGTCCCAGTGGCGTAACGCGTGATCTCGTATCGCCTTTCGAACGAATCTCGGCGAGATATTCTCTTGGTTCGGCAACTTTGGTTTACGCTCCGCGAGAACGACCGGCGGAATCTTCCACTTTGCGGAACAGTTCGGCGACTAGTTGGCCAACTCGGGCGAATAAATTCGAAAACAATTTCCATCGATCGCCGGGGATTTCCAACCTCGTTTATTTACCATCGAACTTGCGATCTCCGCGTGCACCGGAAAGCGGATACGGGTACGATTTCGACGTTCGTTTTTCATTTACGAGCGGAAAGTTTACCGGCCGCGGCCGAACTTCGCGCGACGTGCCACTCGAATTACGCGAATCGTCTCGTCGACGACCGGAGGGTCGGGAACTCGAACGATTTTCGCGAACAACGGCGTCCGCTGTTGGAAATCGGGACGCGAATACCAGTGAAATTTCCGAAATATTCGAAAGACCGCAAATTGCCTTCCCACGACTAAATTTTGTAAGAATCTCTCGACTCAATCCCTATTTTCGTAGTAACTAACAGGAAAAAGTCCCAATACGACGATGACAAAAATGTTGATTACATTCTCGCTAAATCTGTACACCCTCATCACCCATGCACACGAACACAACCTAATATTTTATTTTATTTTGATATTTATTATTTTTATTTTAATTTATATTTATATTTTATTTTAATGTTTATTATTTTTATTTTAATTTATATTTATATTTTATTTTAATATTTATTATAATTTCACCCTAATATTTTAAGTTAACCCTAGACTTGGGCTAAAACAAACAATCCCAGGCCTAGCCTTCGCAACAACAATTCCAAACGGCAGGCGACGATTAGATCTCACAGAAGAATGTTTCGACTCGGGTTTCCTCATCCCACAATTGTATCGACGAATTAGAAATTGCATTTTTGAGAAAAATTGATAAAACTTCGACCGTCCGCAAAGTTTTCTCCACGAGGGGTGATTTCAAATAACCGCGCCACTTCGTTTCACGCGAACTCGACGCTGATTGTGATTGTCGGAAAAAGAACGTCCGGATCTACTGAATTTCTGGCTGGTGCTGCGAGAGTGGGTCACTTGTAACCGATGTCTGGTTCTGTTCGAGCTTCCGATGAAATTGCACGGGTCAAAAGTGGATGAAATGCGCTTGAAACTGTCACAGAGGTGGAATCATGAAGGTGGAATCAGTTCGACACATTCCCTGCTCGATATATCGATGTACTAATAGGATTAGAAGTTCACGCTTCTTTTACTCTCACGATATTACTGTCTTGAAATCGATGTATTTTATTTGAGCATAATCAGAGGTATAGAAATCGTATTCTTCTGTGGAATTGATAGATCGACACGCTTAGAATTGACATTAAGGTATCAAGTGAAACATAATAATAAAAATGAAATTTAATTGTCGAAACTCTCAATTCATTTCAAAATAATTTCCATTCCAGATAAAATTAGCACGCTCGTTAAAATCCATCTATCCGCGTACAAGATCCTATTATTTGAACAAAGAATTAATAGGTGGTTAATACGGGGAATTAAGGTTGAAATTCTGCTATTCAATTTCGTTCGTTTTTCATTGTATATACGGCACGATGCCAATAAATAACACCCGCGTTCCGGCCATAAAATGGGCGCGCGATCGTTGTTAATCCTCGAAACGTTCACGTCAAAAGCTCTCGTACAGAGGCGATACAGAGAAGTGTCGAGTGCTGTTGTGGACAAGTGGATGCATTTGTATTTAGACCTCATATAATAACCAGAATACGTCAACGTTCGTTTGATGCCATACATGCCGTTAAACACTCGACAGCCTTTATCCATCATAATTTTCGCAGCGAGACCAGGAATAGGCGAAGGCTAGGAATCGGTATGAAGGTGACAATCGATATTTGCCTGAATTTAAACTTTCCCATAAACTTTTCTTC